GTGGCTCAGGGCAAGTTCTCTCTCCTACCTCCATTACAAGGTCTTTGATCTCCCCACCAGCTCAGTAGGGAGAGCCTCTGATATCCTCATTTGGCTTCTTTTGGGTGCCCCCCTAAATCCACCTCTGTGGCCTCCCCTGATCAGTGTTATATTTGTCCCAGATGTCTGATGTGAGGGGTGGAGCCTAACAAAATGTGAGGAGCCTAACAAAATGTGAGGAGCACTTCCTGATGATGGGCCTCTATCTACAGAGTGCCTGGGAGCTGTGCACTGTGTGCACCTGCCTAGGATCAGCTCTGCCCGGGAGACAGCAAGCTGTCTGGTTGAGTTAATGAGAGCAGCAGATTACCCTGTCTACTCTCTTTATCATAGAGTCCCCTACCAATCTATCTAGCCATTCTTATGTTCTCAGTCCCATCTGTACTAGATGTACCAGAGGGGCTGTTCCCCTGGCTGCTAAAAGGAACAGCTTCCTCCAGTACAACTACTTCTAACTGATGCTCCCAATAATTTCACTTTAACGAGCAAATCTGCTAGGTTGCACAAAAAAACTAGCCAAACCTTTCCTCTTCCCTCCTTCCCTGCTACCATGTGTAACTATCAACCAACTATCTGCCAGTTCCCAAGCTGTCTTATCTCCTCCCACTACACTAATATATATATGTATATATGTAAAATATACAAATAATAAAATGGGTAATTGCCAAACTAACACAAATATTTATATCATGTAAACATAGGTACACTCCCAAGTTAACACTACTATACCCCCTAGCAATGACCAAAAAAATAATAACATAAATAAAACCATATAAATTATAGACCTGTGAGCTTAACTTCTGTAACTGGGAAAATATTTGAAGGGCTATTAAGGGATAATATTCAGGAATTCATTGGGAAGAACTTTGTTATCAGCAATAATCAGCATGGTTTTATGAAACATAGGTCATGTCAAACTAACCTAATTGCATTCTACGAAGAAGTAAGTAGAAGTATAGATCAGGGTGTTACAGTGGATATGATCTACTTGGATTTTGCCAAGGCATTTGACATGGTTCCTCACAATAGGTTAGTCTTCAAACTAAAAGCAATTGGTCTAGATTAATATTCTTGTTCTTGGGTAGAACATTGGCTTAAGGATAGAGTACCACGAGTTGTCATTAATGGTAAATTTTCAGGCTGGACAAAAGTGGTAAATGGTGTCCCTCAGGGTTCTGTTTTGGGACCGCTTCTATTTAACATATTTATAAATGATCTTGAAATAGACAATGAAAGCCATGTATCATTGTTTGCAGATGACACAAAACTTTGTAAAGTAATAAAATGTGAGCAGGATATATCTTTGTTGCAGAGGGATTTGGATAGATTGGGGGACTGGGCACTAAAATGGCAGATGAAATTTAACGTAGAGAAATGCAAAGTTATGCACTTTGGGGTTAGAATGCACAAGCAATTTACACCCTAGATGGTAGTGAACTAGGGATAACCACACACGAGAAGGATTTGGGAATTGTTATAGACAACAAATTAGGCAGCAATGTGCAATGTCAATCTACAGTTGCTAAGGCCAGTAAGGTTTTGTCATGTATAAATAGGGGCATAAATTCTCGGGATTAAAATATAATTTTGCCTCTTTATAAATCACTGGTAAGACCACACCTTGAATATGCTGTGCAATTTTGGGCGCTTGTTCTAAAGAAAGATATCATGGCACTAGAAAAAGTCCAGAGACGAGCTACAAAATTGATAAAAGGAATGGAGCATTTTACTTATGAAGAAAGGTTAAAAAAATTAAATCTGTTTAGTTTGGAAAAACGGCGCCTGAGAGGGGATATGATAACATTATACAAATATATTCAGGGCCAGTACAAACCTTTATCTGGAAATCTATTCCAAAACAGGGCTATACATAGGACACGAGGTCACACATTTAGGCTGGAAGAAAGGAGATTTCATCTGAGGCAAAGAAAAGTTTTTTTTACAGTAAGAGCAATAAGGATATGGAATTCTCTTCCTGAAGAGATGGTTTTGTCAGAGTCATTACAGATGTTTAAACTGCAATTGGATAAATACTTACAAAAACATAACATGCAGGGATATAATTTCTAATTAGTGAGGTAATAGCTGCTTGATCCAAGGAGACATCTGACTGCTATTTTGGGGCCAAGAAGGAATTTTTTCCTAGTGAAAAATATGTGAGGAAGGCTGAACTTGATGGACGCAAGTCTCTTTTCAGCTATTTAACTATGTAATAACACTATATAAATAACATAACATAAAACACAACCACAAGAGGCATTATATTTAAAAATGATTTAACATTGTAGGGGTATACCCCTACACCCCAGGTTGAAAGCCACCAATGGGCTCCAACCTACCAAATAACAAATTCAACCATATGAATATTGTTACCGCAATTCAAACATGCCAGCTACCAATCCTACCTACCACCCAATTTCTTATCCAGCCCCCTCCACCGTGACCAAACGGGAAAAAGGAAAACTACCTCACCCCAAAATACACTATAGGGAGGATAGGTGGGGCAACAACAGGTAAGTCTGGATTATTAAAATGTCCCCTAAACTAAAATGTCTGCTCCTTTTATATGAAACCAGTGAAACCCTTCCCCCCACAGAAAGCTTAACCCCTAAGCAACCACCCATCTGTATGCCTCCTAGCTCTGTCAAGGCCCATTCCCTTAGCTTTGCTGGTCCTTGGACTACATTCAAGATTGTAAGTATACCTCAATGCTGCAATTTGCTTCTTCAGATCTCCAATCCGAGTTTCCAGAGAAGCCAGTGTTCACACCTACCTCAAGTGTATGACTCTGGACAGATATTTTTAGGCATGCATACATGTTAAAAAAAGTGCACTGAGACAAACCTTCAATTTTGACACTCATTTCCATGGATAGAAAAAAAAAACGCATAAAAATCAGAAAAACAATAATTACCTTGTTTAAACTACTGAGTTAAATGTGGGTTTATTTAGCTATACAAAAACCCACACAGTTGGAAATTGAGGGACCACTTCTTCAATTTACTCAGCAGGGCTAGCAGCATCACACAGAAAAAAAAAAACACAACACACCAATGAGTTTTACTTTTTTGAAAGTTAAAGCAGATTTACTGAAAGAAATATCAACCTCTGTCCACAGTTTTGCAGTTCTCCACAGGGATTCATGTTTTTTAGTGGCTACTTAAAGTAACATACTTAAAACAGACTACCTTTAAGCAACTCCACACACGCTAATATGAATATTTTTACATTCAAATACAGAACTTATCTAGCAATTCAAATGGAATATAATAAGATACAATGTTTTTTATTTCTTTTTTATATTTGCTACTTAGGCACAACTAATTATAAACTATACTGCTCAAAATATAAACAAAGGTGGACAGAGTTCTAATGTGAGGTAATATGTAAGGATTTTATATATATATATATATATATATATATATATATATATATATATTCAAATAAATCTGTATGTTTTATTCTAACCTGCTGCCTGTTATCTCCATTTTGTTTTTATTGGGAGGATTGCACAGTTGAAGCTTCACTCCAGAAATAGCCCTATCCAACTAGAACAGATATACGTGAGCCAGTCACGTGCAGACTCATAAAACTGGTAGTGGGATGTAATAAAGATAAAATTTTGAGTGATTATATCTATAGTAGATACAGACTACATTGCCCTATTTGAGCAGACTACATTGCCCTATTTGACTACATTGCCCTCTTTTGCAGTGCAATTAGAAAAAGCTCCTATATGGTATATGTATGTATATATGTGCTTGTTCACTGATATACAGTGCATTAATATAATACCTGCTCCACATCAGTTATCTCACATTGGTTCACTGTCCACCTTTGTTAATTTTTTATTTACTTGTTTTTGTGAAATTGTGTAATTGATTTCACGGTGGAATATAGCAGCACTCCTTTTGTTCTGTGTGTTTAAAGTGACTTTTTATACCACACGTTCATTTGTTATTTTTGTATAAACTATACTGCTGTTTGTACATTTCAGGTAAAAACTTCGTCCATCAAGTTGCGTATGTTGAATTACTGAACTTTGTTTGTCAATTGTGATTCATCAAGCAACTCTACAAGACAGCTAACACTAAGTGGCACATTCATATAAACAACTGACCAACTAATGGAAAACTATTTGGCAAGCATGGATGCATCCAACCAAATGTATTTGGAGTATTATTACAGAAATAGCTCTACAAATATTTCAGCTTTGGACAATATGTTAAATATCTCTATGGATGACCTCATTGCAACATCTTTCATTGGCATTCTGCTGTCCTTGATATGCATCTCAGGGGTGGTAGGAAACTTTTACACATTAGTGGTAATGTGTAAATCCATGAATGCTATCACTTCAATGTACATCCACATTATTAATTTGGCACTAGCTGACCTTCTGTATCTCTCAACAATCCCATTCATTGTCCATAATAATTTTGTAAAAGACTGGTATTTTGGAGAAGTTGGATGTCGAGTTCTTCTAAGCCTGGACCTTTTGACAATGCATGCCAGCATCTTCATTTTAACTGTGATGAGTACAGAGAGATATATTGCTGTGGCTAAGCCTTTTGACACTGTTAGAAAGCCAAAGGGATATCGGAAAAGTCTTGCATGTGCCATCTGGGTTTTTTCCTTTCTTCTAACACTTCCAATGATGCTGATGATACATCAAGAAGAACGGACATTGGAGAATGGGAACATTAGAAAACTTTGCACTCCCACTTGGAGTGATGACCAATACAAAGTGTATATCACTGTGCTGTTTTGCACCAGTATCATAGCCCCTGGAGTTATTATTGGTTATCTATACACAAAATTGGCTAGGGTCTACTGGATCTCCCAAACCAAAAGCTTTCTTAATAAGGAACTTCAACGTTCCCCAAATCAGAGAGTTATATTTATGATTTTTATAATTGTGCTCACATTTTGGGCTTGCTTTCTGCCCTTTTGGATTTGGCAGCTGGTACCCCTTTATAGTCATGATGGACTGAAAGTCTCTGTTCAAACAGAGATTTATATCAACCATCTGGTCACTTGTCTTACCTATAGCAACAGCTGTATCAACCCTTTCCTATATACTTTATTAACCAGAAACTACAAAGAGTATTTACAAAATAGACAGAGGCGAGGACATGGGTCATTATGTCTTAAAAGTGTCATAGCTATATCTGAAAAACCTTTAGGGAAACAATTATCAATTAGACATCAACACTCTATAGATAGTGTACCAATTAGTAATGCAAGTAGTAGTAATCATTTCATCAAAATCTAAAGAAATAGGAGGTAAAGCTTCATATTGCTGCTGATTAAAGGAACACTATAGACTACCAGACCATTTCAACTTAATGAAGTGGTCTGGCTGCCATTTCCCCCCTGCGTTAACCCTGCAGCTAAAAATATTGCTGTTCTACAGAAATGGCAATGTTTTCATTACAGGGTTAAGCTGTCTCTAGGGCTGTCATGTCAACAGCCACTAGAGGCATGTCCCCTGAAACAGTAGAGGAATATTCCTCTATTTTAATCAGATGGTCTGAATGATGCAGTGTGGCATTTTGCCGTGCAAGCACAATAGTCTCCAAATGCTTTCCTTTGGGGAAGCATTGCATTGGCTGAGATCAATGATCTCAAGGTGAAGTGGCATGTAGGCGACTAGCACTGTGAGGGAGACAATGGAAGTAAACTCAACTTTCTAACCTCTGCTGTGGGGCCTGGTCACCTAAACAGTTACTAGGGCACTATAGTATTTTGTAAAGAGTTACTTTAAAACAATGCAAATAAAGTTACTTCGTAATTCAAAATAATTAACTGACTTTATTACCACATCAAACATTTAAGTAACACTATTTTGTAAACAAGTAAACGAAACCATCTTTTTACCTTAATAAAATTGATAACTGTAAATGTAAATTAGTGGGCTGTGCGCAACTTTACTACTATTGATGATCATTTTAGTACATGAATGCTGAGACTGACATGTTGTGTATTACTGTATGTGTATGCCTACATTTAATTAAGAAGCATTTTTTGTAAATCTCATATCCTGCAAAAGTGCTAATCTCATTTGGCATAGAAATCAAATCTGCAATGCATAGAGTTTACATTATTTATTTTTTACATCACAAGGGAATATTTCACATGTTGCAATTTCTCTAGTCTGGATATTCATGCAAACCTTTGTACAATAAATATACACAGCATAAATACAGAAAGAACTAAGATATACATAAAAAAAAGTATACAAAAATCCTAAACTAAACAACAGGATAATATTGTTTTTTAATTTATTTTTTTTCTGCATTCTGGTTTTTCCCCCTCATTTGTGCTGCTGCTTGATTGCTTGGGGGAGTGTTCATTAATTGCACCTGTGTGGGATTTGTATCCCCATAAAGGCACATCCCTAACTCACTGAGCTTGCTCACATTACTTGAAAGCAAACTCTATTAAGTAGACTCTTTCAAGTAGGAGTTAGAAAACCAGGAGTTGAAACTAACAAGAGGTTTAAACTAATAAGGTAATTGTTTTATTGTTCTGTATCTGGGGAAATGAGTGTTAGCAAGATTGGTGGTTTGACTCAATGCACATCTTGTTGCATGTATGGATGCCTAGATGTACCCGCCCAGGGTCCATACCTCTGTGATGGTTGTGTGTGAGTGGTTTCTCTGAAGGCTCAGATTGGAGATCTCGAGAAGCAAATCGCAACTTTGAGGGAGATTGACAATCTTGAGAGGAGTCTGCTGCTCACTGAGCAGAGTTTAGTGGGGACAGGTAGTGGAGAGGGAGGAGATAAGACAGATGGGGAACAGGCATGTGGCTGGGTGACAGTGGGGTGAGGAAGCAGGGGGGGGAGGGAAGAGGAAAGGGCTAGCTAGTCCTGATTTGGTGCAACCTAGCAGATTTGTCCTTTTGAGTGAAGATGTTGGAAGCATCAGCTCAGGAGTATCTGTATTAGAGAAAGCTGTTACTTCTAACAGCTGAGGTAACAGCCCCCCTAGTACGGGTGGGGATCAAAATGTAAGGAAGGCAAGACAGGGTGTGTTGGTAGGGGACTCTATCATTAGGAGAGCAGATAGGGCAATCTGCCGCTCTGATCGGCTCAACCGGACAGTTTGCTGTCTCCCGGGTGCTCGGGTCCGGCATGTTGCTGACAGAGTGGATGGACTATTGGGAGGGGCTGGGGATGACCCAGAGGTCATGGTCCATGTTGGTACCAATGACAAAGTCAGAGGAAAATGGAAGGTCCTAAAGAATGATTTCAGGGAATTAGGTAGCAAACTTAAGAAAAGGACCTCCAAGGTGGTATCCTCTGAAATATTACCTGTGCCACGCGCTACAGTGGAAAGGCAGCGGGAGATTAGAGAGGTCAATGCGTGGCTTAAGTCTTGGTGCAGGAAGGAGGGTTTTGGGTTTTTAGAACACTGGGTCGACTTTGCGATTGGGTACAACCTTTATAGTAGTGATGGATTGCACCTAAACGGGAGAGGGTCTGCAGTGCTGGGGGAATGGATGGATAGAAGGTTGGAGGAGATTTTAAACTAGTAGTGGGGAGGAGGGTCATAGCAATCTACAAAATGGAGATAGGACAGAAAGGAGATGGCTTTAGCATAGTATAAGGAGGGTGGAGACGGGGGAGGGGCAACCTCAGAACAGAGAAGCTATGTAATGTTGATAATTCACAAAAAGTGACTCATGTTATTAAATGTATGCTTACTAATGCAATCAGCCTAAATAACAAAATGGGGGAACTAGAGGCAGTAGCATACACTAAACAATATGATATAATAGGCATAACTGAAACATGGTGGGATGAGACACATGACTGGGCAGTTAACTTAAATGGGTACATGTTATTTAGGAAGGATAGGAAAAACAAGAAGGGTGGTGGGGTATATTTGTATGTCAACCATGATTTAAAGCCAAATCTTAAGCAAGTGGAATGCGATGATGAAAATGTGGAAGCTTTATGGCTAAATATCTGCTATGGGGAAAAGAAGGGACACCAACTATTGGTTTGGGTATGTTATAAACCACCTAATGTTAATATTGACGAAGAACAACAGCTGTTTGAGCAAATTGAGAAAAGCTGCAAATCTGGGTAACACTTTAATTATTGGAGATTTTAATTACCCAGACATGAATTGGGACAGAGGGACTAGTAGCTCAGGGAATTATTTTTTTAAACTTGTTAAATGACACCTTCATGCAGTGGCGGATCCAGAGCCTGATCTCGGGAGGGGCACTTGTAGATTATTTAAAGAAATAATCCAGGCACAATAACCACTACAGCTCAGTGTAGTGGTTATGGTGTCAATAGTGCCGGGACCCCCTCCCACAGTAAGTAGTCAAACCGTTTAAGAACAGTTTGACAACTTACCTGAGATCTGCTGGGATATGGGGCTGTAGTAGGGTATAGGAGCAATGGTGTGTGAGTGGTGCAATGTGTAAGGGGTGCAGTGCGTGTGTGTGTGTGAAGGTTGTAGTGTGTGAGTGAGGGCGGCAGTGTATGTCAGGGATGCAGTGTATGTGTGTAACAGTTGCAGTGTGTGTGAGTATTGCAGTGTGTGTGTATGGCGGGCAGTATGTGTGTATGGGGGAGCAGTGTGTGTATGTGGGGGCAGTGTGTGTGTATGGGGGCAGTGTGTGTGTATGGCGGTGCAGTTTGTGTGTATGGCGGGCAGTGTGTGTG